TGGCCCCTGTCTGTACATAGTGGTTGAAAAGTATTGTCTAATACTTATATAAATAATAATACTACGACTAATAATTAATCACGAGAAACATTAGACTAAAATCTAGTGATAATAATACTAGGTTTCGTCGAAGGAAATTATATTAAGAAGCGGAGCGCTGTCCGAGTTTGGAGTCATCACTTTAACAAGTGAGTGCATAGCTACTTTCAGCTTACACATAGATATGAAGTATTTGATATAAATTACGTGCTATGTGTGCATATTATCTGTTCACTTGATATCTATGTTAGATGAACGATCTTATACATGTTTTTAAATGATTTAAACTGTATATGTATTTTATATCTACAAAATATGTTAGGTAAAACATGGGTAGATGAATGATAAGGGGTGAAAGTTGATATAGAGGAACATTGGCAGTTATGGACATAGTGTCCTATAGGTGAACATTGACATCAATGGACTTAGTAGCCTATAGATGAGCATTGGCAGCTGTGCCACAACCTGTAGATGTTTTGATCTACGATGTACTCTAAACATCGTAGCAGCTGCGCTCAAAGGACAATATCGACAGTTGCGCCTAATAGAGAACATCATAACCCTGGCAGCTGCGCCCAAAGGACAATATCGACAGCTGCGCCTAATAAAGAATGTCATAATTTTGGCAGTTGCACCTAAATGATAATATTGGCAGTTGTGCTTAATAGATAACATTGACAACTATATCATTAGGAAAACGATGGACTTCATGCCTATTCCTTAGGACAATCCTTAGGAATGAATGAGTGAATGATAAATGATTCTTCGGATAGATCTTTAAGAAATAAAGAAGATAATGGGGATGGATAATTGGGTTGATGTTTAATGATTAAACATAATTATATTATTATGGGTTGAAAACCCTGTTGTACTCACCAGGTTTCCAACCTGACCCACTCAAGTTTATTTGTATCACAGGCGTCGATACGAAGCTACTTTACACTGAGAGATTAAGGATATGTAGATCACTAGTGTAAATGAATGTAAGGTCTGTTTATGCTTTTGTTCTGTATTGACGATGACATCTAAAAGTTTTAAAAGAAATGAAATACATTTCTTCGGAAATGCTTTGATAACACATTTATCATGTTTTTCTGGGAACAAATTCCACAACATTTTTGTAAAAAGGGTACTTTGGTTTTTAAATAAAGCATAAACAAATCGGTCTTTTCTGGCCGTGAAAATGGGGATGTCACACTTACTGCTATGTCAATTTTGTAGTCATTTTTCTCTTTAGCTTGTTAGTTTTGTTTTTGTAATGCCTCTTAATGTCGATTATTCTTTATATTTACATAATTGAAACAACGAGAGAAATCGAAGCAAAACAGGGTACATACGAACCTTACAACATTCTACTGGAATGGAATCTGAATTCCGATTCTGTCATAATCGAATCTTGAATTCCAAGTTAACTTAAGCAGTGAATTACCAAACACACTACATAATGTAATCTCGTAAGCTCACTTACCTACCAATCTCTTTCTCGATATGTTCTTATTAGCTTTTGTATGGTTTTGTGTGAATTTTGTTTTAGAATGTCAATCTCACAAAATGTGAACGTATTTTGAAATGGCTTAGGGTCAAGATGTTGGAAATGAACCAATGATAAGGGGAGGGCCTAAAGGTTGGATAACATTGTATGGGATGAAGATGAACAATAACCACCAATCTTCCAAAAAGAATGGATTATTCTAACAGAATAATCTACAATATAATGAAAAAACTCTATGTAATAGTGTATTCTGGTAGAATGATTTATATATTGTATTTCTTTGTTATTAATAAGTGTAACTTTATCATAAAATAGTATGTAAAAAAATTTCTTTTCTAAGAATGTAATGAAATTTTTTTTTAACTTGTATACAAAAATTTGTTATTCTTCAAGAAGTTCATTGAATCAAAATATATATTCTATCAGAATGTGTATTCTTGTATGGTTCAAGCATATTTGTTATTTTTCAATATATTGATAAACATATTTTGTCAGTATATCCGAATTAGGAGAATTATCATCCCTACAATCAGATTTTTTAAATTAATAGAATCTATTATCCCTTAAAATATGCCATTTTCCTTTTTTTAATTTTTGTTAATTGACTAAAATACCCTAAGAATGAAATTAGATGATATTTTTTAATTATCTTTAATTTAGTAATATGTATTATTCACCTTCTTAAAATAAGTAAAATGATTGTCCCACAATCATTCTTACATCCACATAATAATTAGTTAGAATACAATAACCTAAGTCTATTATATATATATATATATATATAATATATATATATATATATATATATATATATATATATATATATTATATAGTCTTCTTCGGTGACACTGCTCTTAACCTCAAGAATCACCTCCTTGATCTCCAAGGCGTGCTTCAGGAGGATGTCTTCTCCTTCTTGGCCAAGAGATGACTGCTAGACATGGCCTCATCAAGTTTCAAGAGGGAGAAGTGAGTGCTTGAATGTGTAGCATTGGATCCTGAAAATTGTGAAGAACCCTCATCCATTCGAGATCCCCGAAATAAATGGGTTCAACATAGTCTTCTTGGGGGGGTGGGCTTTTTGTAAATGGGTTTAACGAAAATCTTTTGATAGTTAGTAAAGAATATAGAGACATATATAGTGTTTTCTGATGTTATATTTAAAGAAAATTTGTTACGAATGCAATTAAATGGGTTCAACATAGTCTTCTCGGGGATGGTTTGGTTGAGCAAAAATCATGCATAATCGTTTGTAGGGAGAAGATGGTAAGAGTTAAAACTTCGAAAGGAGAGTCGATTGCCATCTATAGGGAAAAGAAGAGGATAAACTTGGGTATCATCACCCTGATAAAGGTTGTCATTCATATTTAGCTTATGTAATTTACACAAATTGGGGAAATAAATTATTTGATAGTATTGACATTGTATGAGAATATTCTGAACTTTCATGATGATCTTTCTAAGTTTCGGATTGACATACTACTAGGAACCATATTGATAGCAAAGACACCTTATCATTTAGAACCAATGAAAATAAATGAGTTAATATCACAACTTCATGAATTATTTGATAAAGGTTTTATTAGACTGAGTTCTTTGCCTTGAGGAACAACAATTTTACTTATGAAAAAAAATATGGATCCATGCATATGTATATGAATTACTAGGTGTGAGACCTATGTACTATACAAATTATTAAAAATAAAAGTTTTATATCAGGGTGTAAACATTAAGTATTTTTAATGCCTACTTAATTTCAAAGTTTAACAAAATATATTTTATTATATCTGAATTTTGACAATATTGTTTTATAATATTTCATTATTGTAATTATGTAACAAAAAAATCATATAAATATTTTTAGTGATAGAAAAAACAAACTATTTATTATGATATTCATTTTATGGAGAAAAATATACATACTTTAAATAATAAATGTTTTATTAATTATAGTGTTGATCTACACATTTAATATAATAAATATTTTACATATATAATAATAGAGGTTTTAATTAGTGGAACTGATTAATTTTTGATTAACAAAAAAATGAAAATACCACATAATGACATGTGGAATTAAGTAATTCAAAAATCTTACACAATGACATGTGAAAAAAATCTTGAGAAAATGAGAAACCGCAAAAGCATTTTCATTTATTAGGGTATTGATGATTGATGATTAAGACTTAACAAAGTAAATTTGTTTGTAGACATTTCCTCAATGGGTCCGTAATTGTCTTTATAGATGACATTCTTACCTTATTTACTCCAAGACCAAATAAGAGCATGGAAAACGTCTAAGGGAAGTACTAAAAGTACTTTGAAGAAAAAAAACATTAAAGAAAATTTTCAAGATGTGATTTTTGGATTTGAGAACTTCAAATTTAGGTCATATTATTAACAAAAAAGGTGTTGAAGTTGACCTAGATAATGATAATAACATTATCTATAACCACTGTAAACGTATTATATATCAAGAAATACAGTTAAACTTCAGCTCTCTCTTCCTTGCTGATTCTCTCATTTTATTAAACCTTACTAAACAAATAAATTCCCACGTTTCATATAAAAACACCACACAAGTACCTTGCATAAATATGACAATGGTAAAATACCTTGCATCACAAAAGTACTTTGATGTACATCATTCAATTGACTAGAATTAAACATTACTAGACAAATAAATTCCGAAGTTTCACCTAAAAAACACCAAACAAACATAAGATGAAGATGAAACATAAATATTACAACGGTAAAATACCTTGCATCACAATAGTACTTTGATGTACATGATTTAATTGCCTAGTATTAAACCTTACTAAGCAAATAAATTCGAAAGTTTCATATAAAAACACAAAACAAGCATAAGAGCATTGGGTGTGGGTCAATGTTATAACACCACTTCAACACCATGTAGGAAATGGTGTTCCTTGTTATGACATGTTATGAGAGTAGAGAGAGAAAGAGAGAGAGGCAAAGAAAAATGATGCTATTGGCCAATTCTCCCGTTGCAAAATGTCATGACACCAACGAGATGTACCATAACACATAGGGGGTGGTGTTCCCCGTCACGACGCCGTTGAGGGTGCCACATCACCCGGTTGCTTCTCGTTTTTGGCCCATACCGCATCCTCTAAGATAAAGATCAAACACAAATATGGCAATGCTAAAATACCTTGTATCACAAAGTACTTGTACATCATTTAATTGACTAGTGTGCACAAAAGCACCAACACATCAATATTTTACATATCTTTAAATAAATCAAATAATACAAATGTCACGTAATAAATACTATCAAAAATACATCTCCTCAAAGAAGAAATATATTTTAAATATTATTTACCATATCTATTATATTCCAAAATTAATATTTTAACGACAAAATATTGTTCCGTAAAAAAAATTTTAATAAACTTTTTTGGCGAAGAGGTTTCTCAAATTGAACATATTAGTGCCACGTAGACCTTCACCGTCGGGTTGAACGACGGCGGCGCGTGTCAATACCGGTGTTTCCCCCAGCAAATCGCAGAGTTTTTTCTACTTGAATTTCGTCGCTGCGACAACTGAAATGGTGGCGGTAACCGATACATGTCTGGACGTTAAGATTCAACACCATACCCTTTCCTCCGACGCCGGACACGGCAGCCGTCGCATCTCCGCCGGTTGTAGATTTTTTGCTCCGACGAGTGTCGGGTTTTTCCTTTTTGAGAACAACCTTCTCAGCAGCATTCCTGACCACGTTGTCGTGTAAACTCCGACCAGATCCGACTCTGTTAAATTGCCAAACTGGGCTGCTCCTACCTACATGAACCCCACCACGGATTGGGCTGTTTGGCCACTTCCTAGACTTCGACTCTCCGGCGGAGTTGCTCCTCGAGCACGGCGCACTACTGACTTTCCGGGTGCCAGCGATTGGTGGCCGTGGCCGTGGCCTATTCCCGCCGTTCCCAGCTGATTTACTCCTTGAAAAAGGCCATAGATTTATATTCAGCTCCGCCATGCTCATCCCGCCACCACCTCCGAAGCCGGAAACACCTTTCTTTTTCTTATCTTTCTCTTTATTCTCTGGGTTTTTCTTGAAAATGTCTTTCCATCGTTTCGACGCTGTTAACATCGATGTCGACTCGGACGCAGGTCCAGAAACGGTGTTAACGACGGTGGCTATACTGACAGAGTCAAGGGATGCGTCTTTATCAGGAGGTTCGTCGGAGTTGCGGGCATTGAGTAACTTAAGAGGAACAAGAACACCGCCAGAAAACAATTCGTCGGCAGAATGAAGGAAGGTTTGGGGACAAGAGGGGTTTCTGACCATCCAAAACTCGAATTCCGGCGAATTAGTTTCACTGCTTCTTCTTCCAATGCTGCTCGTGGAAAGAACTGTGGGATTTTCCATTTCACAGAGAAATTTGAAGATGGAAATATTTGAAGATGGAAATTGTGTTCAGAGTTTTGAAGGTGGATATGACAGTGACCCTACACGTACGTATATATAATATAGATATATATAGATATATATATATATTAATATATATATATATATATATATATATATATACACACGAGTAGTACTCTAGGGTTGTGTGGAGGTGGTGGTGGATGCATTGTATTTGCAAATGCGTTATGGTCCATGAAAAGAAAAAAAGAAATATGGATCACCTCGACCATGCAAAAAATCTAAGAACGATCTAAAAGAAACTTCGAAAAATGTCTCAAACTCAATTTTATCGATAACTGCTAAATTGTGTATTAAATTATAAAAGGTTATATTGCATAGTGCATACGCCACATATATATATATATATATATATATATATATATATAGATATATATATATATATTATATATATATAATATATATGGAAGGGTTATTTGGAACAAAAAAAACCCTAAAAAAACCCTAAAACTGCATAAAAAATACCTAGAAATCACATAACTTTTTTTTTTTGACTTTTTTATAAAAAATCGCAGGTTTTTAAAGAAATTCGCTGAAAAAAATTTAAAAAAAAAAAAACTTTTTTTTTTATTTTTTTTTTTCAGCGAATTTTAATAAAAAGCTGCGATTTTTTATAAAAAAAGCAAAAAAAAGGGTTGTGATCTCTAAATATTTTTTTTTATGATTTTTTTGATTTTTAGGGTTTTTGTTTTCCATAGAACCTAAACATATATATATATAATCTATATATATTTATATATCTATATATATATATTATATATATAAAGAGAGAGAGAGAGAGAGAACGAGAGAGAGAGAGGAAGGATCATTTGAGAACTCAAAGTTTCCCCCGAGAACCCGAGAACTAAATAATAACCATTAGATTAAATAATAGAGGGTTCGGATGCTTCGTGGCACTTTCATAACATACTGAAACCATAAAATGGGGGCGGGGGTATCTTATTAAAATAAATCAGTGACATTTAATCACGTCAACTCCTATCTCTCTCTCTCTCGATCCTCTCTCTCTCTACCCTTCATCACACCTCCGATCTCAAATCTTGAAATCGTCGTCGAAGTGTGACAGGATGTGAGTATAGTTCATCGGAACATCTACAATGAAGCATTAGGTCGGTCGTTTTCATCGGAATCATCTTGACTTGTCGATTTGGAGAAGATAGTCCTATCGAATGTCCAGTTGGAGGAATCGATCATCTACAATGAAGCATTAGGTCGTTAAGAAAATCTCGAGTTCATTGAATCTTCCTTGGCTTGTCGATTTGGAGAAGATAGTCCTATCGAATGTCCAGTTGGAGTGGAATCGATCATCTACAATGAATCATTAGGTCGTTAGAGAAATCTCGAGTTCATTGAATTCCTTGAAATCTATCCATTTCCGGCGAATGATTGTTCGTGATTCCGATATCGATTTATTAACCCGAACCCGTGGTCAATAACTTAGGGTTTTGAAACTTGATTTGTGCTCAGGGTTTTCAACAGACGGATTACTCCAAATCGGTAAGCGGTGTAACAATTTGAGAATTCTGTATCTACAATAGAGCTTAATCGTCGAAAAGGACGGCGAATGGTTACATGAGCTAGCTTTGCGTAACACAGCCATGGAATCGTTAAACTTCTACATGACAGATCTGGTTAAGTTCGATTTCAAAGATCTAGAACTCTTCGCAAAAAACTGCAGCGAATCGTTACTATCAGTGAAAATGCGAATGCGACCTCACAGACCTTTCCGATTTCTTCAAACATACAGTGAAATTACAAGAATTCGGCGATGGCGCTTTCAGCGATCAACCTGAAAACTACGCCGGACTGAATTTCCCTCCTCTTTTAACTTCCATGGCGTTGAATTACATGAGCCAACCCAAAATCCCAGTAATCATCCCATTCGCTTCCCGATTAACAAAACTCGATCTTCTTTACGCTCTATTGACAATTGTATGTCATTCTTTCTCTTAATCTTCTTGTTTAGGACTGTGAAACGATTAGGGATACCTGATGAGAGGATCATTCTTATGTTAGCAGATGACATGGCTTGCAATTCCCGAAACAAATACCCTGCACAAGTTTTCAACAATGAAAACCATAGGCTTAACTTGTATGGAGATAATGTTGAGGTCAATTTTTGTGTCCAATTAATTTCTACATCCCTTTACTTATTTACATAGCTGTTTTTAGAGAAGATGTGCTGATTTTAGTACACTGTTATGTCAGGTAGACTATCGAGGCTATGAAGTGACAGTTGAGAACTTTTTGAGAGTTTTAACAGGTCGCCATGAAAATGTTGTTCCAAGATCCAAACGTCTTTTGAGTGATGAAGGAAGCCATATACTGCTATACATGACAGGACATAGAGGAGATGAGTTTCTGAAATTTCAAGACTCTGATGAACTTCAGAGTCATGATTTGGCTGATGCAGTCAAACAGATGAAAGAAAAGCGTAGGTCGGAACCCATTTTTAATGCTATCTCATCTGTCATTGGTTGTGGAATTATGACTTACTTGTTCTCTTATGTGTTCATGGTTTTAGGTTCAAGGAACTGTTGATTATGGTAGATACATGTCAAGCTGCTACCCTCTTTTCCCAGGTCTGGATCCTTTTCTTACCTAAAGCATTAAAATAATGAAAACATAAATTTATTGAGAATTCTAAAACAGTGTGGATATTTTCTTTATTTTCAGCTCCATTCACCTGGTGTTTTGGCTATTGGGAGTAGCATGAAAGGGGAAAACTTATATTCACATCACTTAGATTCTGATGTGGGTATTATCTGGATTCTATCAACTTCAAAAATTTGTAATTTGATATACAAGAATACTCCACGATTTCTTTTGCTTCTCTTGCTAATTCTGTAGAGATTATTGTGATACATATAGGTTGGTGTCTCTGTTGTGGATCGATTCACATTTTATACGTTAGCTTTCTTTGAGAGGGTCAACATGTATGACAATGCATCATTAATCAAGTATAAAAAAAATGTTGCATTTTGAAAAACCTGTTAAAGTTTTCTCGCCCTATTTGACTTCATTTTTCTTTGTTGTTTTGCAGTCTGTTTGGCTCATTTAATCCAAATTTACTGCTGTCAACTGCATATTATCGAACAGATTTATACCAACAAGAATTGGAGAAGGTATGTCACTTGTAGATATATGCCATTTTTCATCACATTTCACCCTTCCTAAAAAGGGAATTTCTGTTTTTTAAGGTCTAGGCATTCATACCACTGTTTCTTTCTAGACTAAATTACAAAAGTAGTCCCTGTGGTATATTGGTTTCTATGGATATGTTGTATTACTTTCATCTGTAGTTTGATACATGTCATTTATAATAGTGTGATTTGTTTTTTTTTCTTGAACAACATGTTAGCGGCATATTATTCTTGAAGCTGATTGTATGGAACTACAGATTATGGTGCTCTCCTTTATCACTGTGGATTTTACAAGGAATCCTTGAAATACCTACACTTATATCAGGATTCACAGGTATACCCTACACCATCATATCAAATTGCTACAAAACCCCTTATATTTTCCCTCTTCATTCCAAAAAAAAAAAAAAAAAAAAAAAAGAAACCATCTAGTCATTTGTTGACTTTTCCATGAAAGCCACTTGAGATTTTAAATAATAGCTTTTCTAGAAAGTTCATAAATCTCAAATGTAAATAACATGTAATTCGCATATGATTCACATGTGACTCACATTTTAATCACATGTAATTCATATATGATTCACTTGTGATTCACATGTAAATATGAATTACATGTGATTCACGTGTAAATCACAAGTGAATCACATATGAATTACATGTGATTCACGTGTAAATCACATATGAATTACATGTGATTCACATGTAATTCACATATGATTAATTTGTGATTCACATGTAAATTACAAGTGAATTACCTATGAATTACATGTGATTCACAAGTTAATCACATATGAATTATATGTGATTCACATGTAAATCACATGTAATTCACATATTAATCACATGTAATTCACATGTAAATCACAAGTGAATCACATATCAATTACATGTGATTCACATGTAAATAACATGTAATTCACATGTGACTCACATTTTAATCACATGTAATTCATATATGATTCACTTGTGATTCACATGTAAATATGAATTACATATGATTCACGTGTAAATCACAAGTGAATCACATATGAATTACATGTGATTCACGTGTAAATCACATATGAATTACATGTGATTCACATGTGATTCACACATGATTAATTTGTGATTCACTTGTAAATTACAAGTGAATTACCTATGAATTACATGTGATTCACAAGTTAATCACATATGAATTATATGTGATTCACATGTAAATCACATGTAATTCACATATTAATCATATGTAATTCACATGTAAATCACAAGTGAATCACATATCAATTACATGTGATTCACATGTAAATCACAAGTGAACTACATGTGATTCACATGTAAATCACATATGAATTACCTCCATATGCACACATGCATTTTGTGTAAGTGTTCTTCGTTAATTATTTTTTAAAATTTTCTTGTGAATTTTACATTTAAATCTTAAAAGATACAATCACATGTGAATATCACATTATATAATCACATGTGAATCTTACATGATATATACATGTGCGTGTTCTTGCATTAATCAATTTTTTTTTATTTTCTTGTAGATTTTGAAGAATTTTTTGAAAATATTGAAGAGGTGAAAAGTGATAAATTGAAGAAAATATGGAAATCTTGATATGAAGAAATGATAACACTATGAATCTTTGTAGTTTTTTTATATTTTATTTTGTATCGAATAAAATATTTATATTATGTTTATAGATTGATTAATAAAAATGAAATTTTTTATAATTTACTTACGAATATTATAGTATAAGAAATATGCATATATGCATTTGAAAAAATATGCATATATGCACCTAAAACGTTGATTTTTTTGTTAAAAAAATTGCACTTTTTTATAAAAATCGTAGTTTTTTTTTTTTTTGAAAAAAATGCAGTTTTTCTAAAGAAAAAAATGCAGTTTTTTTGAAAAAAAATACAGTTTTTTTTCTAGAAAAAATGCAGTTTTTTAAAAAAAAATGCAGTTTTATTAAAAAAACATTCAGTTTTTTTTAAAATGTAGTTTTTTTTGAAAAAAATATGCAGTTTTTTAAAAAATAATCTTTTTTCATTTTTTTTTGAAAAATTCATGTTTTTTGAAAAAATTAAAAAATATCCATTTTTTAAAAAAATCGAATTTTTTTTTTTTTTAAAAAGTAAATCCGAATTTTTGAGTTATTTTGTTAATTTTTAGACATTTATATTAATATATTAAATAACACAAAAAAATTAAACATTAAATGAGATTGGTAAGATGACGATCATATCCTTAACAAATTACTTTTGATCCAACGCTCCACTTTTAGTTTTCGGGTTGTCGGGAAACTTTGAATTCTCAACCGATCTCAACCATATATATATATATATATATATATATATATATATATATATATATATATATATACACACACACACACACACACTAGCCGTTTACCCGCACCAAGCGACAGGTGCGGATAACTTTTTAGAAATTAGTTCCTAGAGGCAATTAGGTTTTTTGTACAAATAGTTGAGTGTTTTACATTGTTTACAGTGTAAAGATCTTCAAAACATGTAAGACCACTAATATGCGATAAAAGTATGTAAATGTATTATCGCTCCCTGTAACGGTATTAGAAGAAACCAAATGATCTCACATTAATTAGTTTCAATAAAAAAAATGTACATTGTTTGTTTTTATATAAATGAATATATTTTATTTAAATACGCTTAAATCTTCATTTTTTCAGTATAATTATGATTTGTGTTATTTTGTCATAACAGATGGGTAACTGATAAATCAACGACAAGAAGGAGTCCATTAATCGGTCTAAGCGGTCGACTAAGGTCAAACGACTAATCGACACCTAGACGGAGATCCGTAATTGTATTAGAATTTATGAATATTATTTATATCCTAACAAAATTAATAAATACGACATTATTTTATTTTTATTTACTTATTTTTTAGAATATAAATACTACATTCAAAAAGTTATATATCCTAAGAAAATATTTTTTTTCAAATTAAAATTTTAAAGTTTGGTGTAATATTTGAAATTTTGAAAATTTTGAACAACAATGACTAAATGTCATTTTTAATAAGAAATATTAGTTATATAACCCGATTGACATTTAGACATTATAATAAAGATTAAAGTAACGGATATGTGAAGAATTTCGAGGATTTGAGATTAAACAAATTATTTTTGGGATTTGAATCCTTTTGCATTTTATTGTATATTTTTTGATGAAAAAAAAACATAAAAGAAACAAACTAAAAATTTATGATTTGAGACGAATAAAAGACGTAAATTCGTTTTTTATTAAAATTCTGAAGACAGAAGCTTCTTGCCATAGTAAACATTGATTTTGCCATTTCCAAAAACACCACTGCAACTTCGTATAACAAATGAAAAGAGGCTTTCAACCTTCCATTGTGTTTGCTAATTATTTCTCCAAAACCAACTCTTATTAAAAGTCTGTAAGCACATGGTACCCATCATTTGACCGGTACATATAATAAAAAACCACCATCTAATTTTATCTTTCCAATCTAATTTCCTCATTTTCCAATTAGCAATTAAAAACATGCATAAAGTACAACTCCACTTAGCAACATCAAATTTAATCTTCCTTTTATGTTTTACCCATTGTATATAACCCATGAGTCCCAACATAAAGCCTTTATTTGGACTACATAAATCATAACATTCATCCAAAGTTCTTTCCGTATTGAATTTATAATAATGATAAATAATAATAATAATAATAATAATAAAACAGGCAATACCCTTCAATCTTACTTATACTAATTCGAACAAAACAAGTAATTTTTCTCCACATGACATTGTCAATAGTACAAGATTAACAAGTTAAGACGAAATTGCCCTTTAATTTTCCCCTCATTCCTTATTCCTTCTTTTGCTGTCTTTCTTTTTTCAGCGAAACCAACCCAGAACCATAAAACCATTAGCAAACTTATAGCTTGCAACATAAACCAAAAAGAGACCAATTTACCCTTTATTCATACTTCTACACCAGAACATACAACCACCCTTAATAGACCTCTCATTTCTTCTGTTTTTTCCTATCCTTTTCCAACGAAACCACTCCAGAGGCATAAGACCAAACTTGCCATTTTTAATAGTAATACTAACCAAAAAAAGACCATTATGTCGTTTTCTAAAAATTATGCTCTTGATCAACATACAACTGTTTTTCTTAACTCTTGTTCCAAAAACTGATAAAAAAATTTAATTTTTTACAATATAAACTATTCATGTTTACCTAGGTTCTAAACCTTCCATGGCAACTTTCAAACCGGATCAAGATTCAAGACTTCAAATAAAGACAACATCCATTAAATCCTTAAAGGAAACTTCTATCAAACGTATCAAAAAATCCAACAAAATTATACTAACTTGTCAGTAATCATCAACATCAACCGCCAAGCTGTTAAATTTATAAAAATAACAAAGCCCAAAAGAATGATAATGACATAATACATTTTCTTTTAGTTTTTTGACTTTTATATGAAAAAATTGTTAAAGTAAGAAACTGTTAATTTAAAAGTTAGTCCTCTTACTCCACATCCATATAGACATAAAGGGGCATTGCGTAGGTTCAACAGAAAAGTTTGGACGTGAAATCAGAAAATTGTATGATAAATATGCATTATGTTGAAACCTATCATAAGAACGGACAAAAAGTGGTAGGGAATGGTCCTTATAGCATCTTGCCATTTGAACAAACCAATCAAATAAACCAAAACATTCCCAAATGCATGTATTCATAACCTAATGTCTGGAATTTATTTAGCCATTAGTGTTTAAAACAATCAACTTTAAAACCAACTCATCTTTAAAAATAGAGATCTATGGGAGATAAAATAGAAGATAGGGCGCAACCTGCTAATCAATCACATCACATTGTATTTAATAATAATAAATGAAAATATGATACCCATACAACCGTGTCATTTCCATCACTAAGTATTGTGCTTGTATTATGAAATACAACACTACAAAAGAAATCGAGCAGATGATGTT